TAAAGCTGAATAGAAAGTCTGTATGGAGTTTCTTCAATGCCCATCATCTTCTCTGAAGTAAATTGGTGCTGCCAGGAGCAGATGTGTCTCATTGTTATGAAAAGCCTTATGTTATTACAACATTTTAAATGTCACATTCTATAGGTCTTTGAAGTGTTTGAAGATCACCTATCTATCTAAATTAAATCTCTGTTTGACCTCAAAAACATTCCTAACATGAATACCAGTTTGTTTGATATAGGTGACTAACTACTAACCTGCATTTCTTTATTATCCTAAATAGTTTGTAATAATGACTTTCAAGGACTAGAAATTTACATTATATTGTTAAATGAACTGAACAGGTACAATACCTTAAACAAGAGTAGAAAGCTATGTACAGTATGTTCTAACAAAAATAACAAATTTGTATCAATACACAAAAATACCTTAAACAAGAGTAGATATATACAGTCTACAAAATAATCTTAAATTTGTATCAATATATAAAAATCCATTCCAATGTAAAATATTTAAGACTAGCAGGTTTTTTTTAGTTTAAAAGTAGATTTAATACCCTTTTTTTCCTATCATTTCCATACTCTATCCCCCCTTTTTCTCTTCAGAAAGAGATCCCTGCATTTAATTGCCTTTGTTCGGTTTTTTTTTTCTGACCATGACCAATAACAATTTGTAACCAATCCCCCTAAACAATGACAAATATCCATAACCCACTGAACGACCAAAAACCACCCATCCCATCTCTTGATAATATGGGTGTTATGTTCTTTAGACTGCTTCCTGTTGTCTGGGGCACTGGCATCTTTGAGGGACCCTGAGAAAATTAGGATAATGGTCACGTTCTGGCTAGAATAGTCTGTGAGACTGGATCATTTCAGCCAGTAACCTTGAAGCTGTTCTGGTTCTAGAACTCTGGGGAAATGGCAACAGAGGCACTCTGAGAGGCTGGATCACCTGGGCCACCTGTTTTCATTGGGTTCTGGTCCCCTTGCTCTGAAAACAGAGGTTTTCAAAGGTAACACAAATCTGCAGTAACACAAGTGTGGACTGTGCAAAAGCCAACCAAAGATGATTTTTTTTGTTTTATGCTTGAGCAGGTAAAATATATGTCACCTGTCTTGTAGTTTTTCTAGGTTTATTTCTTTATGTCTGTAGCCAGGATTTTCAGGGGGTCTCCCCTGATCAAATCTAATCTCTATCAACCTTGAATGAATACACAGCCTTTCATTTTCTGTGGAAACAAAAGCATAACCTCTTCCCCAATGTAACATATTTTTTTTACTTCCATTTTGAAGTTAAGATAGTTTTAAAATATATAGGTTAGTTTAATTTAGTAGTTTTCACAATCCAGTGTTGCTCAGCAGCTATTATTTGCCTATCACCAATCAAAAAATTTAAAGTCAATATAACACCATACAGGATCCAGAGTCTGTGTATTTTCCATCTTTATGTGGCTTATCCTTTTGATATTATTTTTTTCTTTAAAGACTATCTCATTTATAAACTATTTTTTCTATGATTGTCTATTCCCATTTTCTTTTCTTTCTTAAGCCTCAGCACATTTTTAAGACACTTCAACCTGTTTAGTTTTTTCTGTCTGAACCTGCTTTGCTGTGTATCTGTAACCTTTTCTGTCTGCATGAGTAAAACTTAGACCACTGTGCAGCTTAGCTCATGACGCTGGCAGCTCAAGCCCTCGGGCAGTTGCTGAGAGACACATTTCTGTACAATGGCCCGTGTGAGAGACTGTGGGACTAGAAAGCTGCATTTGGCTCCGTTTTTGTGTGTTTGGAACCTTTTTTTTTTCCCCTTAGGCTTTCTTAGGTCTTATGTGGAAATAGGTGCCTCCACGTTGTTGCCATTTGTAAACGGACTTTCCTAGACCTGTCATCAATTATGAAAGCTAGACTGATAGCTTGGGCTTGTTTCTAACTAGCTCTTATAACTTAAATTAACCCATTTCTATTCATTTACATGCTGCCACGTGATTCATGGCTTTTACCTGTCCTCCTGCATGTCTTGCTCCTTCTCTGTCTGGCTGGTGACTCATCCCTCCTTCCCAGCACCCTCTGTGCCTAGAAATCCTGCCTAGCTGTTGGCTGTTCAGGTTTTTATTCAACCAATCCAAGTGACATATCTTCACAGTGTACGAAAGGATTATTCCACAACAATCTACCATATAGATAGGGAAGTGGACCAATGTTGTTTTTCTGGAGCAACACATTTACCATTCAATTGCCTAGCCCATATTTGCCCTTAATCTTTCATCTCTCAGAGCATGAGATTGCAGGTGTAAGGTAGCTTATGAAATCCTGCATACTTTTGGTCATGGACACATTGCTTGGAGAGGTAGAAATAGCATTGTTTGAGCCTGGAATCTGAGATGGTGACTGTATGGGCTAAAGAACAAATAAGACCATTTGGTTTGGGGTCCAAATCTGTCTTGTAAAATACTCATTGGTCTCGAGCCTGCATCCCAGTGACTGAGTTAATGTCAAAACCTGGAAGTCTGTCAATTGTAGCACAGGAAGTGGGGTAATACTATACACTCTCAAAGCCCAACTCCAGTGATGCACTTCCTCCAGGAAGGCTACATCTCCTAAAGGCTCCACAATCTCCACAGACAGTGCTAGCTGCTAGAAAGTCAAGTGCTCTAACACATGAGCCTCTGAGGACAGTTTTCTCTCAGACTACCACAGCCTTCTCACACGGAAAATCCTACAGATTCAGAAATCCTGGAATGAAAAATAGTAATTGAATAGAATGTCTCTATAAAAGCTCAAATAGTCTAGTGGGTTTATTGAATAATACACATACTTTGGCTTAGAATAATCTTATGGACTTTTCTCACAGTATTCCCCATCAAAAATACCTTAGTTTACCTGTTTCCATTATTATCTTTAGTTTTGCTTATCATATGCTAATTAGAATTTTCATTCTTAGCAACTTTAATTTCTTGTGAGAAAAATCGAAATAGTAAGCTTTTTGAACTGCTCTCTATCAGCAGTTTTGAGGTGATTATTAGAAGTATGCTTCCACATGAAGCAGTTTTTGGTTTTATTATTTTTATTTGAGAATTTCATACATAAATACAATACATTTTGATCATATCCTCCCCTCATTTCTCCTACCCCCCCAACTCCTTTCAGCTCTCCCCAATATTCCCCTCTCAAATTTATATCTTCTTCTGCTGCTTTTTTACATGAGTCCAATTAGTCTTGCCCATGTGCACATGGGTATAGGGATGACCACCAGAGCATGAGCCACCCAACAATGGCCATGTCCCTGAAGAAAACTGGCCCTCCCCTCTGTAGCTAGCAATTGCCTGTGGCTCCTCAAACAGGACTAGGGTCTTGGGAGCCCTTCCCCACATCCTGACTGGAATGTTTGATCTTGTACAAGTCTTGTACAGGTAGCCCCAGCCTTCGAGAGTCCTGGGCACAGCATCCCTGTCATACCCAGAAGACACTGTTTGCAGCAGTACCTTCCTGGGTCCTCTTGCAGTCTTTCTGCCCCTTCTTCCACAATGCTCCTGGGCCTTGAGGTGGGGGTGAGTAACAGATGTCCCATTTGAAGATGGGCACTTCACAATCATCACTCTATGCATCTTGACCTACTTTAATTAACAACCCAAAATATATTTAGCTACTATATTCAACCATATAACAGCAAGATGCCAAAATATGTAAACTTTAAACTTATATTTATTAAGTATCATCTTCATAGTTTAACTTATTGAGAAATGACCCAGACACCCGAAGGGTATCTATTACTTCACATCATGTCAAGGCCTCAAACTACCAGAAAGATTTCTGAAATATGAAGTGTTCATTTATAAATGTTCATGTCTTTTATATTTACCCAATTTACTAATTTTTGATGGTCAAATTTGAATTGCTTGTGGGTAACAATGCTTATCTCATTTGTTAAATGTCATCTTATTTTTTCTTTTAAAAGAGCAAAATCAAGCTAAAACTTGATCAGCCAGCCTTATTCTAGGCTCTTGAGAAGACAGACACAGATGCCTAGTGAGTACTCCACACTCCCCAGTTGTTCTGGGTCTCAGGCCCTCATATAGTATCTAAAATGGATAAAAATGAAAGAGCATGGCTAGATCTTTAACTCACACACTAGGTGATAAACCCAGGGCCAGGGACAAGAAGCTGTAGTAATGATGCCTAAAGTATCCAACCCAATAGTTTCCAGCCCGGGCAGGAAGGAGGCAATTCTATGTAGAAAAGATGGAGGAGGCCATAGCAGGCCTGGTTCACGTGGTAGCTGGCAACCCAGGTATTACAAAAACACCCATGTCCAAAGACCACATCCCAAATCCCAGAGGCTCCCAACCAAATGTACATAATTCAAGGACCAAGGAAGCGCTGCAGATGGTCCCAAAGTCTCAGCTCACTGGCAAACCAAACAAATCATATCAAAAACATCATAAATGGAGTCAGGCATGTTTGTGTATGCCTGTAATCCCCGGATTTGGGATGTGGACACAGGAGGATCAGAAGCTCAAAGCTAGCATTATTATATAGAAAGTTCCAAGCCAGCCCGGACTACAGGAGATCCCATCTAACAATGATCAAATTCAAACATCACAGAGGTAAAGAGACTCAAATCCAACAGTCAGACACAAATCTCTTTCCTCTCATTTTACTCCCAGGGATGATATAGATGAAGGAATTTGTTCTTATACATTTTTCTCCTTGGCTAAACCCTTATCTTTGTGACCTAATCTATCAAGGGTATAGGAAAGCTTGTTTAACTAGTAAGTCTAATGTAAAATTCTATAATTAATAACTAGATTCAAACACTTTTTTTCACCTTTAAGTCAGATAAACAGAGCTCTGTGGCAGTTTGAATGAGACATATCCTGCATGGGCTCAGGTACTTGAACATGGTCACCAGTTGGTGGCACTGTTTGGGAAGTGGTACAGCATTTGCTGGAAGTATGTCACTTGGGGGGAGGAGGCTTTGAGAGTTCATAACCTCACCCTACTTGCAGTTCACTCTCTCTGCTTTGTGTCTGCTGTTCAAGATATGAACCCTCAGCTTCCTGCTCCTGCAGCCAGGCTTCCCTTCCATGATGGACTCGGCCCTCTGGAACCACAAGCCAAAATAAACTCTTCCTTATATAAGTTGCTTTGGTCATGAGGTTTTATTGCAGCAACAGAAAAGTACCTAATAGAATCTCCTTCATGTATTTTGGTAGACTCACACATACACACTCCATGCACACAGATGCAGATCTGATGGCCTCATTCACATTCTTGGTTTGCCAGCTTTTCAAGGTTGTCGTATTCCTTCGTGTTCAGGAGAAACGGAGGCTAGAATACAAAGTCCCTGCAGAGTCTGGAAGGCCAAGGTTTGCATTTCCCTCAGAAAGTGCACTTACTGTCAGAATCTGTCTCATCCAGTCAGTCATCAGAGGCCTGCAATTGGATCCAATCCAATTACTTACAGGACTCAATGCATCTTGGAACTATTCCAGTTTCTGCAAGGGCTTCCAATGGTCAGCAATCGCTTCACAGTGCAAATAAGCACTGGACTCAAAAGTCAAAAGACAGAAGCCAAAAAGATTTGGTGCTCAGTGCAAACAGAGCACCAATGCCAAGATGGAACCAACTTTGTAAGACAGAGGGACCCCGGAAGGGGTCAACAGAGCCTCTCCTGCATCCCTCAAGGACTTGGGAGTTATCAGGACTTTCTTTCTGGCACCTCATCTGCTCTAATAGCTCTGAAATCGTTAGAAAATGACATCAAACATGATTTTGTAGCTCTTGGTTTGACTTGCAATACTAGAATTGGATAGCAGTTTGTATAGAAAACCATGCAGATCTGTGCCCTACCAGTTCACAGCACATTACATTTGTGGCCAAAGAAAGCTATGTGCAGAAAATGGAAGATAGGTATAGACAGAGCTCACACCTGTCTTATCTGGCCACTTAAGGATTGGCGGAGATGCAGCAAAACATTCTAAGGGCGGGTCATGAGTAGATTATGGTTTTAGGTTCATCATGAGTGGAGAAACCCTTAGGCACATGTTTAAATGCTGTGAATGCAGCTTTAGCCAAACCTAACAAGTCTTTGCTTGGCAGCCACCACTTTGAAGGTGGTGTGGTGGATCTCAGCAAAGGGCCAGCTGATTGGAGGAGAATACATCCAATGTCACTGTGCCCCCATGCCAGGTGTCCACAGCCCAATCTCAGTTCACAGAATTCAGCAAATCCAGAGAAGCTCAGACTCACCTGCTCACTGTGTTGGAGCTTCTCTGGCCATGCAAAGCTGCAGAACCCACTTGCTCCTGAACTCAGCACAGGTTAACTTCTCCAAAGCACTCAGTTACTCCTGCCTCATAGACCCTTGATGCTACAACACACAGCCTGCTAACACAGCTCTCGGGCTTATTATCTGCCTGCCCTGTCTCCTCCTTCCCAAGTAAACTATCTTCATACTAGTCTGTCTCAGGCTCTGCCTTCTGGAAAACCCAGTTAATACAATATTATATATGATATAAACACCCAGTGAGATATAAAAGAAACATGGGACCTCCAAATATTAATTCTTCATTATTCTAAACACCAACAGATTTCCTTGTCTTTGACAGTTCTTAACGTACATAGGCATGTTAGCGAACATTGACCATTATGAAGCAAGAATAAGGAGACACCAGCTCTGCAGTTTAGTTCAACTTATGCAAATGTATGCAAATACAGCATTTCATTGTGGGCCTTGGCTGTGGGGCAAATAGGCCTTCCCTCAGAAGACAGCTGTTATTGTAGCAGAACCCACCAGTCTGTGGTTGCCACACTCTGAGCTGCTGTGGACTTCTGCACTGCCTTCTCCAGACCACCAAGCCTGCAACGAGAAGGCCTGAGCAGCCAGCTAGCCTTCAAAATCAATTCACTCACTGGAAAGAGTGAATGTTCTTGAAAGCACTCACTTGTCTTCTAAAGATGCAAGTCCTTGTTGGTAAGGAAAAGATGACTATCAACACCCAGTGTCAGGAGCTGGGGCCAGGATAGGGAAGGGAAGAGGCCAGGAGAATAGCATGTACTACAAAGCCACAGTGAAACAGGGGAGATGAAGAGAACTTGTATTGGAATCTGGGGGATACATGATGACACCATTGTTTGTTGTTAGGAGAAACATACATTCCCATGGACATGCTGGGTTTTCTCTCCAGAACTTCATGGCAAATATTCCACTGTCCTGAGGCGTGAGTAACAGACTCAATTGCAGTTACTTGAAGGACACAATATCAAATGTGCATTTCTACTTTTTTCTTTTTATTTATTCATCTCTCATGCAATAAATCCAGACTGAAGTTTCCCCTCCCAGTGCCCTCCTTCCCCAGATCCACTGCTCCTCCATTTCCCTTCAGAAAAGAGCAAACCTCCCAGGAATATCAACCGAACATGGCCTAACAAGATGCAGTAAGACCGTGCATTATCTCTGTTGAACTATCATTGAAGACACTTTGAGTCAAAAGAGTGCTTCTCCCTTAATTAAAATACGAATCAATCCCTCAATCAATGTGTACTGATTACCCCTCCAGAGAAGATGATGTCTGTGCAGGGGTGAGTGCAGGACGGGAACCGATCCCCACAAGTGCCACAAATCTACCGTTTTCTCCACACTTCTCAGCACTAGGCATGTCTGCGGCAATTGGCATTAATAAGCCTAAGATTTCCAACCTCTAGTTAAGAATCACATTTTAAAAATAGAAAATGTCTAGAAATCATTATTTAATTTTTTTCAGTGTCCAAAACTTTAGAGTTTTCTTTTTCTTTCTTTCTTTTTTTAACAAAATAGAATTTTAAGAAAGTTGCCTTCACAGTGAATTTAATGTACCAATATTTCCATTCAAATGACATTTCTACTTCAACTTTTGATATGGTCATATATGAAGCCAAATTCCAACTTTTTTTAAATCAACTTTTAAACAATCATTTGAACCCTCTCTCTAAACCTTGAATTGGGTTTTCCGTGTTCCTAACAGTGGGATTCGATGCATGGTCTTCAGATAAGAAACACGTGTGCCACCAGGATGTCTTCAGGTCAAGATGCTCGGAGGGCAGGAGCTGGGTTACTTCACTCTTCTCGAAGGTTCTGACCCTCTTGAGCCCCAACGGACGTCATGTTCTTCGTTTATATTCAATTCGGCATTTCCCTTCTGGCTGGGGGACACCCACCAAATGGAGACAACTCTAGAAGCAGAAATGTAGAAGAGACACAGAAGCTAAGAGATGGAGGCCAACAGCTTCAGTCCTAAGTCTTCCCTAATTGTGATCTCTAAAGCACAGAGTGGAGGCTGGAAGGGTGGGAAATGTCTGCATTGCTGAGTTTCGAAACCTCAAGCATCAACTTTACCATTGGAAGAGCAGAGTAGAGAAAGCCAGCTTATTTTAATAATCTCTCAGCTTCACATAGCTCACCTGGGCCCACAGGCCTGTGTTCTGCCTACTCTTCTATCAGGCTGAAGGGCATGCTAAAAATAAACAAGGCTCTTTCTACATCCCTGACTCAAAAGCTATGACACCTCGCATAGGAAACAGAAGGCCAAATGTGCCACTTTATGTTCAGACAACGTGGCAGTGATATGGCATGAGTCAGCTAAAGCATGGCTGACACCAGATATCGAGGGGACTGAGTCGGCTAACGATGGCTGACAGCAGATGCCTGGGGAACCCAAAGGGAAAACAGGGATGTGATGATACATGACTGTTGCTGATAGAATGCCACTTTCGTGTGATTCTACAGAAGCACGACCTTGAGGTTGGAGGTGAGTGCCTTTGCGTTCCTCTCCTGTGGTGGTTTCAATGAGAAAAGTCCTCCACAGTCTTGGTATTGGAACACTTGACCTCCCCCCCACCCCTGTTAGTAGTTGCTTCTCACACACAGGAAGTGTGTCCCTGGGGGTGGACTCTGAGATCACAAAGCCTGGCCTACCTCCAGCTTGCTCCTTCTGCTTCATGCTTGTGGTTCAAGACATAACTCTCAGCTTCCTTTTCCTGCCACCGTGCCTCCGGCTTGCTGCCACGTCTCCAAGCCATCGTGGACCCTTATCCATCCAGAACCATACGCCCAGATGCCCACTCCCTTGATTGAGTTGCCTTGGTCATGGTGTTTCATCACAGCAGCAGAAAAGCAACTGGTCCACCTTCCTGCCTGCCTGCACTCTACGTGGGAGTCTGCTGGTGTGCCTGTGCCCGCCCACCTGTGTGCGGCCTATGCAGGCCAACCTGTGTGCCAGTAATTATTCTTATCTGTAGGCCAACCTGTGTGCCGGTAATTATTCTTATCTGTAGATGACTCCTTACATTCTCTTCAACCTTCCAGTCTTCTGTAACACCCTCCCCCGCTTTCCTGGCTCTGGAGCTTGGACCTCAGTCACTGAGTGAAAATCAGCACCTGTGACAGGTGCTTGGGAATACCTGGAGCTGGTGGACAGACCACAGCCACACCATTGGGATGACCACCACTTGTGGATCTTTTTTCCTTAGGAAAGAGGAATGTCTGAGTTTGTGGGATAAAGGGAGGGGTGACAGTGTACTACTAAAAACACAGAAAGGATTCTAAGGTTTAGAGATATAAAAGGCTCTGTCAGCCTTGAGCTTTGGGGTCAATGAGGAGTGAGAAAGGAGGGGGATGCAGTTTAGGTAATCAGCCTTTTTTATTTTCAAGTGTGAACACAATAGAACACAGAATGGATTCCTTAACTCCGCTGATAGAATGGATTGCATAGTTCCCATGAGCCCACTGAAGTTGAACCCATAGTTATACATGAAAATGTATGCACTTCTCCATGGAGAGATGCACAAAATTTTGTTTTCTAAGGTGCTGGGAGGCCCTGCTGGTCGGAGGTTGCAGTCTACCATGGCCTGGCAACTCTCTTCAATCTCGGCAACATGGACGACTCCCTCCCCGCAAGCCCTGTTCTCTACCTGACCTTATTTGGAGACTGTCCCTAGGCCCAGATCCCTGACTTCTCTCTAGTGTGACCCTGGACACAGTTCCCTGCAGAAGCTGTCCCCCTGCTGCCCACATGATAATTAGACATTGTGCTGGGAGCCTCAGGATAGGACTGCACTTCCACAGATGACAGTAACTGAGACTTGTACTGGAACTTTATGATAGGAATGTGCTGTTTAATGGAAGTTAGGTGATTCTCCAGCTGTCATTCCCAATCCTATATATTCCCTACACTCTGGAATACCGCTGAGCTGATTCACTGAAGTCATCTCCTAAAGGGCTATCTCCACCGTACTCACAGGTTGGACAAGGTCCTGCTTGTCACGTCTGCTCCTTTGCCCCCTTGGCCCAGGGGCCAATGGGCTGTGGAGGAGGAGAAGGGGACCCGCACTAATCTGTACCCTATGCATGCACTGGTTTGGGGGAGCCTATTCCCTATGGAGGGATGCCTTGTAGGCGGGAGGGTCTAGGCTCTGCCTCAACTTGGTATGCCAAACTTTGTTGACTCCCCAAGGGAGGCCTTACCCCCTCTGAGGAGTAGATGGGGGGGTGGGATAGGGGAGAGCTGAGGGGATGGGAGAAGGAGAAAAAGGGGAACTGGGGTTGGTATATAAAATGAGAAAAAAAAATTTAAATTAAAAAAAGGATCTGCACCCTAAAAATGTTAGAATGCAACAAAACCACCAGAACCAGTGAAATATGTGCCTGACATTGAAGTTGTTTTGTAGATGGATGCCAGGCTGCCAACGTTGGGCCACTGGTGTGGCATGTAGCTTAAATAAAGCTTTGCTGTGTTTCCTTGTTATTTGGTTCATAATGAGAGAGAAACGAAATTATATTTATTTCTTAAAGAGGAAATATGTGGCCTTCGGGTCACGAGAGTGGGAGAGTGGCCCTGTACCTCTCCTGAGCAGCACAATAGAGCTGACCCTGATGACAGAGACACAGGCAGTCTTGTCCCACCAATCTGTGTGAGCAATCTGGCCCCACCCCTCATCTGCCATACGGTGGAGTGGGCGATGGAGAGATGCCCTCCCCCAGCCCCACCCTTTGCCACCTATGGCAGGAGGGAGAGCTGGCCTGGCCTCTCACCAGCTGCAGCCACTCAGGGGAACTGGCCCTGCACCTTGCCTGGACAGCACAGTACAGCTGACACTGTTGTTGTTGTTGGTGGGGGGGTGTTACAGGTGAGCTGGCCCTGAGGGCAGGAGAGCAGGAGAGCTGATCCCACCCCCCTCGTCTGCCATTTGGTGGCATGGGTGAGGGAAAGATGCCCTTACCCCAACTCTGGTCCCTTGCCACTTGTGGCAGGCAGGAGAGCTGGCCCTGCCTCTCACCAATGACAGCACTCAGGAGAAAGAGCCCTGCACCTTGCCTGGGCAGTGTGGGTGCAGGTGGGCTGGCCCCGAGGGCTGCCGTTGGTGGAAAGAGCATAAGAGCCAGAGGTGGTAGGTGACTATAAGAAGACTCTGCTTTCTAGACAGAGTGGGGCTGTTGCCTATATGAAGTGACAGTGGTTGTGACAGTGTGCACACCTTCTATGCACACTCAAGCCAGACAAAACCCTAGCATGGGGGTGGGGGATGGGCGCAAAGTCCCACCCCTAGCTGAGAAGCTACTGGTAATTGATAGCTGCTCCTAAAAGACAGCTCTCTTGAAGGGTGTGACCCCTGGGCAGGTCTAGCATGCTCCAGCGAATGACCACACCCAAAAGCATATAGGCATCACTAACTGAACTCCACGGGTTTAAAAAAAGAAATAAAGACACAAAGTTGGGTCCATAAAGAATGGGGTGTGGATCTGGGAGATGAGGGAGAGAGATGAATATGATCAAAGTACAATATATGAGATTCTTAAGGAATTGATAACATTAAAAAAAAACTAGGAGAAAGAGAAATGGAAAAGAAACCAATGGAAAGTGCTTAAGTGTGTGTATCTGTGACATATTTTCTGAGCCACTTACGCACTTAGATAATTTCCACTCAAAGAACACAAGGAGCCAGGCGGTGCTGGTGCATGCCTTTAATCCCCAGCACGTGGGGGGGCAGAGGCAGGCAGATGTCTGTGAGTTCAAGGCCAGCCTGGGCTACAGAGTGAGTTCTAGGAAAGGCGCCAAAGCTACACAGAGAAACCCTGTCTCGAAAAAGAAAAAAAAAAGAAGAAGAACACAAGGAGTTTCATTTACTCCTTCCTACATTAAATACAAACGGTCTTAGTGAATAGCTCTGATGTGACCTCAGAGCCTCAGGCTGTTGAAATAGCACCCTTCATCCAGTCCAAGCAGGTCTTCACACATTTGGGATGAAATTGGACTTTTCCTCACTCCTTACAGCAGTGCTCTCTAAAGCGTGGTACCCAGGCTACCAGCAGTAACAGGCACACCTGTAACTTGTCAGAAATGCAGACGTGGAGCCCTTTCCCAGAACCATTGGATCGGGAGCCCTAGGGAGGAGAGTGAACAACCCATGCTCTGCAAACCTTCCAGGATCCAGGAACTCTGAGGCTCCGGTCCCTTCAGGAGCCACTGCGTCTACATAGAGCTAAGTGACAGACAGCCTCAGTGGTGAGGGAGAAGAAGTCTCAGCCTCTTTCTTTGTGCTCACTGTCTTTACAGGGAGATAGTGAAGAAAATAAAGATTCCCTGCATCCGGTCACCTTCTGATTGGACCAAGGGCTATGACGACACTCAAGACAAAGAGTTCATTTATAGACCTACAGCAGACCTCTGTAAATGGAGCCAAGGTCAAATTTAAGGGATTCACTCAACACGTGGCTAGTATCGAAACCCATGTTTAAAGTTTATATCAAATCTGAAGTCACGATATTGTTTGAAATTCTACAAGCACTTACCTGCTTTGGTAATGGGTCCAGAAGAGTGCAGTCATATTTATAAAGCACTAAGATAATGCATATTTGGATCTCTAACAGAGCAAACCACCTGAAGATAAAAACATAAGGCAATTACTTGTCTCTAAAAGACGCACGAATACCTCAGTCTTTCTTAATACCACATAGTCCACTGGGTGCCTGGGATGGCTCAGTTGCTTTAGAAGATGGATAAATGCTTAGTCAGTAGGTGAACACAAATGAAAATCTACGTCTTTTCAGATGTATTTTATCTTAATTTGTCTATGTAGGTATGTCTGTGTCTGTATCTGTATGTCTGTGTGCATGTGAATGTGCTCTCAGAAGCCAGAAGATAAACAGGCGCATGCACACATGCATAAACAAAAGTAAATCAAAATGTTACATTGTATCTTAGCTAAAGGAAAAGCTATGAAAATATGATTTTACCCAAATTTAAATATTTGCACATTCTCAAGTACCCACTGGAGGTAAATTTTTGGCAATGGCAAAATAAAAGTTTGAGGCATTTACTGCAATGTTGAGTTTTCTTCCATGGCTAACACTAGAATCTGGCCATCTGCGGCACTCAGTATTTTTTTTTCAGAGTTCGTCAGAAGCCAGCTGAGCTATGTTCATGCTAAGAATGTTTTCCCAACACTTCCAATGTCAAAATAGTGAAAATAATGAGGTGTGTTATTTATAACAGATTCAGTTTTTACACTTACAGGAACAAAAGTGCACATCTAGAAAGAAAACTCACTAAAACGCAAACATGTTGAAAATTCCTTAGATACTCAGCACTTGTGGATTTTCCCCAACTGTAAATACTCGTCAGGACACAGCTGCAGGGGCTTTGGGAAAAATGAGGTCCCAGCGAGGCTGCCAAGACTGAATGGGGTGAGAAGGAAGTGGTAACAACTAGGGCAAAAGGGGATATGGTGAATGTGGGCACAAAGACGCTGCAGAGATCTGGGACCTAGAGAGCAGTGACCTGGATGTTCTGAAGGCAAACCTGAGCTAGATCTTCAGGAAGAGCAGGCTTTAAGTATGCAGGCATGGTGACTGAAAGCCTTTCAGAGCACCAAGAACAGGGAACATGGGGGTCTGGATACAGCGGGATAACCCCTGGGGGAGGGTCACCAGGGGCTTCCAAAGATACAGCTGGGGTCACATTAACAGAGAACCAGGAGTCCTGACAGGTAAGGGTCTGATTTCCAGCACTGGTGTCAGGCTCCTAATCAGAGCCTAATCAGCGGCATTCACAGACCAATTTCAGGAAAATTCATCAGTGCATACTAAAGATGGATGAAAGGGAATGAGTGGGGAGCCAGGGCAGCTGACACAAACTATCACCTGAGAAGCTGGTTCCACAGGAGAGAACGCAGGTAGGGTGCCAGAGTCGGGGTGGGGTGGGCAAAAGACAACCTGAGACCACAGGGTGTCTCGGAGGATAGCAATGTATGTCAAAGAAAAGGAATGCTTACGGAGAGCTAGGATTGGGTGGAATTACTGATTTCCATTTCGGATATTTTGATTTTGAACGAACTTTTATCGTTGCTGTTGTTTTTGTTGCTGTCAGTTTCAAGCCCAAGAAGTCCTAGAACCCCATACGTAAGCCCAGGCTGTCCCCGAACCTCTTCTGTCTCCTGCATACTTGGATTACAGGTGTGTGTCACCACATCTGGCTTCTCCCTGACTTTTGAAGAGGAAAAACCTCTCCTTTTCCCTCTCCTAGAAGTCATTGCCGGCGATGCCAGGGACGGCTGGAAAATCATCCCCGCTGCCAGGAGCAGGAGCTCTGCCGTGCATGCCTGGTTGCTACCAGCTGCAGCTCATGACAATAGAATGCTCTTGCCCTGGAATTCGGAGATGGCAGCAGGCAGGCATAGTTTCAGAGGTATCATGCATTGAAGCATAGCTCTTCAAGTTCAAGGGGAGGCGCTTCCCCACAATCTCATCCTCTTAGGAAATCTTGGAGGAGGGTAAAAATCAAGTATGTGGCAGGAGGCAAAATAACCCAGACTCGGTTCTCCACCGGCAGCATCTGTCAGAATATCCTGGGAGGACGGGGAAGGCAGAGCTCACTGCACCTTACCCTGGGGTTTCCGACTCCAGAGGAAGGGGATAAGATACAAGCTCTGTGTTTCGTGCAGGTTTCTAGGTAGTTTTTCCACTGGTGTTGTGAAGCCCACAACTTGGACATTGATCATCTAGAGGAATTTAGTGAAGAGAAGGGAGGAACGCACCCTGGCAGGTGTAGACTTACCATTGCTCTGAATTTTAGTGCCCAGCGTCCAAATGACAAAGAATCCATGAAAGGATTTGGCTGAGGCACCAGGCTTTTAACTGGGGATAACAGTAGGCACAGACAGGAAGATGGAAGGTAAACACTTTGTGCTGAGTGAGGAAAATCAAATGGAAGAGGATATGATGGTAAGAATGGTGTGGGAGTGAGGAGGGGGTGAGAAATCATGCACAGGGTAAGAGGACTTGCTGTTCTTTCGGAGGACTGGAGTTTGGTCTGCACTGAATGTGCCTTTACTCACTGAGCCATCTTGCTGGCCCTAATCTCTCTCTCTCTCTCTCTTCTTTTTTTTTCTTTTTCTTGAGACAAGTTCTTATTATATAGAGCAGTCTGGCCTCCAAATCACAGAGGTCTGTCTGCCTTTGCCTCCCAAATGCCAGAGTTAAAGCCATGCACCACCATGTCCAGCCCACCCCAAGGAATGCTGCTGAATGCAGTTCTGGCATTTTATTGAGATTTATTTTTAAGAATGTGTTTTTTTTCAAAAGTAATTATTTAATTTTTATTTTTTTTTAATGTATGGATGTTTCTGTTTTGCCTGAATGCATGTTTGCATCACACATGTGCAGTGGCAGCTGAGGCCAAAAGGCGGCATGGGATCTTCTGGAACTAGAGTTGTTGGCTACCACCTGGGTGCTGGGCAATGAATCTGGGCCCTCTTCAAGAGGAACAAGTCCTAACCACTGAGCCATCACTCCAGGCTTTTTACATCAATTATTCATAAGAAATGTTGTTCTATCTAATTAATGTTTGCTTTGTGGTATTTCTGTGTGGAGTTGACTGTGGTAGTGCTGACCTCATCAGATGAGTTAGGAAATTCTCTCTCCATGTTTTGAACAAGTTTGAGAAGAGTTGAGATTACTTAATGATGCACCTGAAGGCTTTGGGTAAAGGAAAACAAACAAAAAGAGAAGATGGGAAGAGACATTCAAAGTCAGGGATGACAAAATTAATGAAAAAGAAAAGAAAACATACAAATAATCAATTAAGCGAAGAGTTGAGACTTTAAAAAGATTAATAAAACTTTGGCCAAATTGAAAAGAACAAAATTAATAAAATGTGAAATGAAAAGTGAGTCATTACAACAGACATTGAGGAAATTCAGACAATCATAAGGACAAACTTTGTTCACAAAATAACATCAAATACCTACAATATACCAAATTAAAAGTATAAAAGTAATACACCAAAACATTGCTGGGTATTGAGAGATGGTGCAGATTACTGTGCAGGTATTTTTCTTCTTTCTACTTATCTATAATCATGGCTGTTCTAATAGCTTACAAAATTAATTTTAAATGGAAAAATGAGTTTATGACTTTTTGTGAAAGGGGAAAAGATATATTTATAATACTGCTCTCCAATTTTGAAAGAAAAAAAGTTAGTGTTACTGAACTGGAAAAGCTACAAGAAACCAATTTCTAAATTTAGCTGACCTACCAAAGTTAGTCAAGATGAAATAAATAATTTAAACAGACACATAACCACCAAAGAGACAGCAGTAGTTAAAACTCTCCCAACCAACAAGAGTCAAGGGCCAGGACGGCTTCAGCATAGAATCCTACGCAGAGTGCAGCTGGCACACGTGAACTCACAGTGGCTGGGACTGAATGCCAAGATCTGCACAAGATCAAGCCAGTCCAAACCCCAGCAAGGGTACTAGAGGGACTCATGAAGGTCTCCCCATCCAACCCCACCTCTGTGTGAGGAGCTACTGGTAATGGAAGCTGCTGGAAAAGGGACAATTGAACCAGTTTTCTTCAGGGATGCGATCCTTGAATAGATACCCATGCTCCAGTAGATCTAATACCCAGGCACATACAGGCAGCACTACATAGACTGTGCTGTGGGATGTTCTGTATGTCAAATGTGTTGCTGATTGGTCAATAAATAAATCACTGATTGGCCAGTGGCCAGGAAGGAAGTATAGGTGGGACAAGGAGGAGAATAAAGCTGGGAAGTGGAAGGCTGAGTCAGAGACACTGCCAGCCGCCACGATGACAAACAGCATGTGAAGATGTCAGTAAGCCACGAGCCACATGGCAAGGTATAGATTTATAGAAATGGATTAATTTAAGCTGTAAGAACAGTTAGCAAGAAGCCTGCCACGGCCATACAGTTTGTAACCAATATAAGTCTTTGTGTTTGGGTTGGGTCTGAGAGGCTGTGGGACTGGCAGGTGAGAGAGATTTGTCCTGACCATGGGCCAGGCAGGAAAACTCTAGCTATAAATGGCGTCCAACGTGGTGGCAAGAGTTTCCACCTAAAAACTGAGAAAAAAGATTCTAAGACGGAGCTAAAAACAGTTCCTAATTGTCTCTCTCAAATGAGCGGCAGCTGCTGGTTTGAGCTACTTGTGGGTTCCTGGCGTGCGTGCTTGACCTGCAGTATGGCGGGAATGAGGCCTCTGCAAGTGGCACATTAAGCTGTGTGGTGGATTTAGCCTTTGCTAGTACAAACCAAAAAAAGTAGTTTCTGGGCTACATGCTGCTTGGATAAAAGCATAGACCCATGATAGCTCCCAGAACTGGTGGTAAACTACCACCGCCATGTTGGGAAGCTGAGGTGGGCGGAGCCAACAGCCATAGCGCCGTTTCAGTCTTATAAATGCTGCAGTTTAAAGCAATAGATTCACAATAAGACAGATTCAGATGTAATAGTTTACAATGTGTGTAAAATATACGTAGGCTTGGAAGAGACAAAAAAGGTGATATATACAGTTATATAAACAAATACATAGTTTTAAAAAATAAAGTCTTTAAAGAGACAGTAAAATTAATATAAAA